TTAATCAGAAAATCAGATTGTCATAACATTAATGCTTGAAAAATGGCCTGCTAAATGTTTTCTTGCAACCCTGAATTGACCAGGAATTTTAACATGTTCTGGTTTCATCCATTTCTACTGCATGTATTAGAGAACTGATTTCCATCTATTTTTGTGGAGTATTCAAGCTTTTATGAGGTGATGCACTGCTGCCTTAAGGCTCACAGATTATATATATGCTTTTTATTATCATCATCAAATTTTTCTCTCTGAAACCACTTCAGCATACATGACAAGCCACAATGATATAAATACACAATTTCAAACCAATCTGTGTCCCTAAACAACACTGCCTGCAACATGACCCGTGGGGTTTTACTATTGTTCCACACCTAACAGATCAACGAGATATTTTCTGCAATTTTCCCTCATTAAATTTAGGTTTTGTCACCACTCCTTTGATCTCCCCCTACAGGCCCTGTTAGGTTCTTTCTGTAGGCATATCACAATGTCATATTGTTATATTTCTTCAGTACAAATCTACACAAGGACAGAATACCTATAATAGAAACTAAAATAAGGAAAATAGGCTCTTGTGTATGCTCCGTTTTGGTTACAGAGAATGAGAAACACAAATCTGTGGCAAATCCAGAGCAGTTTTGGCAAATATGGATTTCAATAAAAATATAACTATTTCAGAAAAACAACAATTATGCATGATTGGTCCCAGCCCTGGTTCCAGATGCATGACTGGAAAGTATTGCTCACTTCACTTCAAAGTGAAGGCAAGCGGAATTAAATAGCCAGCGGTCAAAATTTTCAACTACTGACCCTTGTAACAGGGTATCACACTACCAAGCCAACACAATGGACGACTAATTTTCTTGAACACATTGTGGTTTGAAAATGAGCTTTGTCAGAGGGCGAGGGTCCTAACCTGTGAATAAGATGGCTCAAATGGACAAGCAGTGTTTCTGCTGACATCTTGACTACCACTGATTATTCAAGTCATAGAGTTACATTTTAACTAATTTACTTTTCTTACATCACTGACAATATTACTTGTTTCACTTTTTTTGTTGAAACTTTCACTAATTGCAGGCGTGTTCACATTTGACAGAAAAAACGAGATATCACTGGATATCTGATGTGACCAGACAGTTACCAGTCAAGCAGAAGACCACCTGGGAAATAAAGATAAAAGGGAAGACAAGAACTAAGTCCAGTTTTGATGAATATCTGAACATCTTGGCATTAAATGCCACAAAGGATGTTTCAACCGAGTTCCAGATCCTCGGTTTGTTAACGAGGCCAGTGTGAACACACCCCAGACTGATCATATGCAGATCAAAGGCAATTTTGTGGAAACTTTACCACAGAGGTGTGGCGGGGTCAGGACATCTGGCTCACACCTAGCCTGCAAATGAACTGATTGGTCTTTTCCCACCTTGTATTTCTTCTCCTGAACCAATCCATCTTCCTGAGTATGACACACACAGAATGTGAAGACTTCTCTCTACTACACAGAAACTGTGCACTGATGTTCTCTTTGAACTTCTACTGGCTACATTACATCTTACATTTTAAACCCAGTTTCCTCTCTCCATTGTGTTATGGTTTGTGTAGAAACATAAATTTTAGCAGTGAAGCCTCCTCTTTGAATTGAAGTTTATAACAAGGTATAAGCAAAAGCAGATCAATTATCTTTTAACTTTTTACTTACAAATATTTTACTTGATAATGTTTATGTAGGAAGACAAAGAAGAAAAGACAAGTGATAATGTTATGCACATTTGTGTTGTTTCTATATGTTGCTGGGGAAGGGAGGGGGGAGCAAGAGTTTTATAAACCTCATAACCCATCCAGCAAGCATGGTAGACTCTAGTTAGTACAGAGAGCCCCAACCAACACACTGTGGAGATAAAGTAGCCGACTTCCAAACCTTAATTTGTACAGGGACTCTCAAAGGGCTCTAGCTCATGATAATGAACAATGGTTCTGTTGAATAATGAGATGGATATGGTTTGAGGATTAAGATCTTATGCAAGAATGATTAGCTAAAGTCTACACTAAACTGCAATCAAACAAAACAGGGCCACTCAGGTGACTACTTGACTAGAAGTCAAATCAGTATTCAGTTCTTTCCTGCTAAAGTCACTGACTACTTATCATTTTAAAACCAACATTTTGTGGTTTTCTGCATCTTTTCAATTAAAAAATAATAATAAATAAAAGAAAAAAATGTGCAAATTTTCTATATGGCTAACTTAATTTCTTTCTCATGCCCATATCAAAGTGTTTATTCTTTTAAATATTAAGATATTTTTCACCTCCAATACACCTGCCTTCAAGCCCAGTGACCAAGATTGCCAGATGCCCCCCCCCCTCCTTAATTATATCACAGGAGGTCAGGATAATAGGTCCTCAGGGGCAATGAATTCAGAAGCCAGTTAGCTACTTATTAATTACTTAACTTGATCCCCCTTATCACAGGAGGGACATTCTTGTCTAATCTGTGATTTCCACCTGGTGATAGAGGTGGAGTGACCACTGGTCATCTACCTGGCCACATCTGCCTGTAATTAAGTACAGTGGTCACCTCACTGCCCATTGTTAACACAACAATACACTTCCTGCTGGCTAGTTGGACATCAACTGGGAGATGTGTGTGGAAGGGACCCTGCCCCAACACTTATCTCGAGAGCACCCAGGAAATGGTGGCCGGGTGTTATACGTTTATTCTTTATACGAGTATTTACCCACCGCGTATTTATCAATTTGTCCGGTCTATTCCCCAGTGTTCAAACTACCAGGTTAAGTACCTCTATTTTCCACCAGATCAAGTTCAAGATGGTATTGTGGTATAGACGGAGACTGCTTGGTTAACACTACATGTTTGCTGAGCATACAATACCAAGTTTTCCTGTCCACAATACCAGTAGTGTACCAAATCACAATGTACCGACCACAAACACTGCAACATGAATGAGATATACATACACGCTTCATGGGAGAAAGGGTCGCTGCATAAAGTGTCTATGAGCCAGGAGGTTTTTAACACAAAAAATAGTGTGATTAAGGAAAAGGGTGGCAGCTTACACACTACAAGTGTCTGTCTGGGCATGAAGTTCATACCTGAGAAGTTTTGAATTAAAACATAGCTCAGCCTTGTGCTCAGGCTGTTTATAAACATCCCTGCAGCAAAGCAATTCTGAATTTTCAGGTTAATTTCCATCTTTCTATAGATTCTGAGTTATCATCAACTCTAAACACTGAAAATTGATCCACGAGGGTGATTTATTTACTAACAGGCCTAAGGCAAGGAATTCCTTCTGAAGCTGTATGAATGAAATAAGTTCTGTACAGAAATAATATAGCCAGCTCCCAGCTCTATAATAATGCTCATTCTACTATGGCAATTACCATTTATCATTTATTCCAGCATATTGCATGTACTTTCACATTATTCTGTGACCTTGATATCCATCTACAAGCATTTCCTCTCAATTAGCAATAACCAGATAGATCTTTGCCTGAAGAGAAGGAGGAAAATGTTGTCACTCCCACAGCAGAAAAAGTTTCAAGTGGAGTCTTTCAAATTTATTTCAAAATAGGACAGAATGCCACAGAAAATATGTGTCAATGTCAAGTTTTGATAGTGGAAGCAGCTGAGAGCTATGGAATATCAAGAAAGATATAATGTAACAAAAAGTTATGTAAATGTAGAACACAGCTACAATGTGAGATTTATTATTAACACAGACTTGGGTGCAAACCAGTACTGTGGCTTCCTTCAGCAATGACTTCTCTTGTTTGGGGACCACAGCCATTTAAACTAGCCACACTGGAGAAGAACATAAAACTTAATCCAACAACATCACATCTTACAACAATACCATTGTCTGTTTGTATTTTAAGCCAAGATGGATCTTTGTACATGAAATAATTTAAGCACAAGTCTGTGGTGTTATTAGAACCACATTGTTTTCTAACCCTCCCCACATATCAGAAGATTACCAGTAATCACATTAACGTCTCAAATGCCATAAGACAGGCCACAATCTCCGACTGCACCGGACATGAAAAGCTGTCCACATGAGGCATCTTCAGTGGCCTCCATGGAGGAATAAAAGGAGCTGCTTATAACCCCATCCACATGGGGACCATTAGATCTGACTGAAATGTGCGTAAAATATGGGCTGCGGAAAAATGTACTGGATCTAACAAGCTGTGAAAATATTTCTAGCCACTTGAAGCCAGGAACTTGTGGGAACCTCCCTCTCGGCCCCAGACAAAGAAACACAGAGAACAGCTGTGGGGGGAAGCCAGAGAGAACGGATTTTTAAATGGTATATTGTGCTAACTTTCACAGTTGAAGCTTTCTAACTCAGATCTAACATGTAAACAGAATGCAAACATGTGACTGCACAACTCAAAGCTTATTATTACTGCTTGACATCTTGGCTGGAAATTTTGACTAAAAGTATTTCATGATTATTGAAAACATTTTTTTGAAAAAGTCTTACACTTGAATCTCACTGTTCAATAGGGTTGAATTTCAGATGAATTTAAAAGCTAAAAACAAAAAATCTTGATGTCTATGCTAGTGTCATGCTGGTTGCATTTCTCTTATTTATGCAAGCAATGTGATTTCCACTTTCGGTGTGATTTTCTGTGTAAAAACAATTTAGTGTCAACAAACCTCTCCAAGCAAGACATAGTCAACACTGGGATACATTAGGTTGATCTCCTCCACTTTACTTCAGGGTGGGTATTGTTATATAAGAACACATGCAACAGAATTTAACCTCAGTGGACTCCTTCTTTTTCATTTTCATGAATGAATATACTAGTATGTATGTTTTAATTAAAGGTTCCCTGATATTCACTTATGTAATTTTTCTTTTGTTTTACTTTCTGTCTCAACTTTCTGGAATATATTTAACAATAAACAGAAGTACACCATGCATCAAAGCTATAGTAAAACACTGAGCTCAGTTTATAAAATATTACTGACTTACCAAGATGAAGTGTAAGGTTGACGCTGTTAGGATACTGAATTCCTTCATTCATGGTTTCTGATTGCCACCAAGTCATGTTATCGTTGTTGTTAAAATCCGTCAAATATTCAGGAGGGTGTCGCTTGCTGGTGTCTCTAGCGTCGCATACTTCGCAGTATCTTTTATTACCAGCGACCAGAGTCTGTACACAGAATTCCGTCGGACCGGGGAGTCCGCAAGTGTTGGTGGCGACGACTTTCCGTCCGTAGGCAGCGTTCACGAACTCAGGAACACAGCGCTGAGGGCGACCGTCATCGGTGTAGCAGCTACTTCGCCGTGCCGGGTCCTGAGCTTCTGCTGAGTGTAGCCATAAAGCACATATAAGGGATATCACAAGAACAGGTTGCTTGTAAAGTTTCATAGTTCTTACGATCGTAGAAGTCCTTGCACTTGGTTTCTCCTTCCGACACCTTCTACAATCTACCGCCATCCCCTCAACCCAAGGTGGACTTCTCGCAATGCCTCACGAGAATGTCGCTCTGGTGCCGAGAGAGGGCGCACAAGACGCACCTGGTCGGTCGTTTCTCCATCGAAGGAACATACAAAACGCATTGGGTAGTGCGGAAAGAATGATTCATCATCTAATTGAGAGAGTGCACCACAGGAATGTTGAGAAATAAAATATGTTTAAGTGAACGCACATCGTGTGCCCTTCAAACAATTGTTAACATTTATAGTATTTTTATAAATTGGTTTGAAATGAGCTGGATGTCCAATTAATTCTTTACAATTTAAAGAGACATTTGCCTTTAAAAATATAAATTCTGATTTGTGATTTAAATTCTTACAAATAAGAGTAATATTAACCAACATCATACCAGTGCCACAATGAAAAAAACCAGATTCAGAACAACAACAAAAATACAATATGTACTTTAAATTATAGAGCTTATAGAGACATATCAGATCACAGAAAATACAGTACTGCAACAAAATGCAAGAAACCTTAGGAAGTTTTCAATCCAACTTTTCACATTAAAGCAGCTGCATAATACAAAGAAAAAATAACTGCACTACAATAAAAAAAGTGTTCCACTTCAGTGGCCATATTTTTATTTTATAGAATTGTCGCAGAAATAAATGAAATAATTTGAATTCCTTTAATGCGCATGAATGCATGCCATCATTCTCACAGCCATATATGTAGTAATTTATCACGATTCCTTGAGGCATTGAAGCAAATGTGAAAATGACCATTGCATTTGTTGTGCTGCATGTTATTTAATAACATTCTCTCAACTAACGCATTCAATGCTTTTCCCTCCCCTCTAATGCAATTTAAAATTATTGTGTCCAGGACAAGATTACACTTTCACCTCTTACTGTGGGGATAGCTTTCCTCTTACAGTTACAGCATCTCTCAAAGACCCTAGAACCTCAAAGATATCACTGTTATCAAATTTTCATTAAAATACAGTATGAAAACAATCTATAGCATAAGTGTATGTTAATATACTTAAGCAATAGGTCCCATTCAGAATAGGGGACTTACTAGTCCAAGGGTCATATTTGGTGACCCACCGCAAAGTTTGCCATCTAATCAGCTAATAGACACTGAATAGATATTCCGTGGTGAAGTATTCAAGTGGGTCAGTCATATTTGACCCTCAGACTATCAAGTCCCCTATTCTGAATGACACCTTAGATTGTTAAAAGCATGTAAATAGCACATACAGGAAACCAAGGCCTGGTTCTCTATCAACTTCCAATGCACTTCCTAAAATGTGTCTAATGGACATTTGCTAACACAGGTTAAGCTGTGTTTACATGCTCACTTTTAGAACCTTGTTTCTACAACTCTGAGAACAAAGCATATAAGCAAGTTTATTTAGGAAGCTAAGTGAAATATCTGTGAATATAAGCATATTTTAAGGGTGGACTTAGTAGTAATTCTAGTTACTCAAGAAAAAAGAACAACTTATATGTGAACAGTTTATTTTTCTTGAATTTAAGACAACATGACATAATTTCAAATGTTATTAAATACATGCAATTTCTTTTAATACAGTCTTATATAATTTTTTATAAACATGAATCTGTGCTTAACAGCTAAATAAATAAAACTGGCCAAAATAGCAACACTTACACAAATATGAGATTGACACAAGTGACACAAATAGAGACGGACACAACTGACACAAATATGATGCACCAAATGGCCATGTGTGAACAACAAAATACATGGGAAAAAAACTTATTTGTCAATTGCATATACCCAAGCAGAACATTAATAACCCAATATCACTTATACATTACCTGCGCTCACAACAAAATTCACATTCAAACATGTAACACAATCTTATATTTGACAGTAGTGGATACACATTAAAAAAACACATGCTTTGTCATACCCGAGATCAGGCTCCCCACCCCCCCCCCCCCCAATACTTTTATGATATATAAAGGTGTGCTGATGCAACATAACGTATATATTTTTATTTTATTTGTTTTTAAACCCAAATATTTTTATATCAGCTAGGCTTCCTAAGCCAGCTTAAGCTTGATATGTTTACCAGATATTCCATCTAAGATGTCGATATGTTTATTTGCTAATTTTCTATAGAAAAAGGTTCCAGTTATTTTTCTCTGGATTGCTGTCTTAATGAATAAATGTAATATTGCAACAAAATTTCACATATTGCTTTAACTACCTGATACAACAATGAAACACTAACATACTCTGTTACCAACAAATGCCAAATATCACCGTGTTTTGCAATTGCACCAATTCAAAATGTTGTTATGTTTTAATTTAACACAAAAAAGCAAAAAGAAAAATCATATTGCATTATCAATAATATCTCCAATATTTACACCTGCTTTATATCCTTATTCTTATAGAACTGCAGCTATAATTTCATGTAATTTGTGTATAATTCCAGAGACTAATATACTTGGCAATCTGAGTACAAGGACAAGGCGGTATACATTATAACATTTGTACATCTCAAAGTGCTCCTCAACATACTGTTCATATTAAAGTGAGGATCATGTACCAATATGAGAGGAAATTTTGCACATTGTTCCTTCTTGTTATTTCCACAATGGGTTTACAACTGACTAAAATTTTATTTAAATGCCTTTTAACGTTTATTTTTATTACCAACCAACAAGGTCTACTTAAACAGTCAACATTTACTGACAGGAATTCATATACTAAATATTTCCTCATTTCTAATAATGCATTCTGTCAACAAGAGCTAATCAAAGTCATATATTAAGCAAATTATTGGAATGATATATATCAAAATCCTAAATTTGATTCCATTAATAATATTACTCTCTAAACACAAAATGCTGAATTTCCTATTCATATAAAAAACCTAAGGTGCATTGTACTTCGGCTCAGTAAATAAATATTTTTGGATTTAACCCCCCCCCCCCCCATAAAGAAAAAAAACTTACAGGAACCTAGCTCTTACAAAATCTTTTGCCAATTTCCTAAAAAATATATTTAAGAAAATGGCTGTGGCTGACAAACTGGGAGAGCATCAGCCTCTATGGACAAGAAGCCAGATGTCCTGTACTTGTCCCTGATATAGTCTGCCAGGTCTTTCTTGCCGACCACTGGGTCTTCCAGAGCAGTCACCAGGGTGGACAAATCCTCAAACGGGTTACGGTGGAACCACTTCCACATCGCCTGGTATGCTCTCTCCACCATGTCATTAGGGAAGTCTGCCTCTAACACTTCCAGATCTGCATCACTCAAACCATCTGCCAGCAGACAATATATATACAGTCATTACATTTATCTCTCAAAACAAAGTTATTTTCAAAATTTAATTTGCATATTAAAGGCATAACACTTGTCTGTTTTGGCCAAAACATATTTTCCAGGGGCAAACAACGATTTTCCCATACTTATCAAATATCAATGAATCCATTTCAAAACTCAAAGTTAGTTCATGTTTTTTCTAATTTTTTTTCTGTCATAATCACTTGAGAGATTACTTCAGAGGTATTGGTATCTATGAAGGTCTACATGGTCTGATGGCAAGCACAGATTCCACAAAAATTTGGGATGACTACTGCTTTGATGGTAAAATGGAATTTATCATATTTCTATGAGTTATTATCCCTTTGAATTTTTTAGCAGTCAGTTGGTTTCAAGATGTAAATGTTTTATAACCAAAATATTCATAATAAAAAAATTAATATCTAGAACAAGTGAGTTGCTTGATACTTGAGTAATTACTTTTTATAAGCCTGACACTCGTGCACAATAACAATGTGCGAGATGAAAAATAACAGTAAAAGCATGGGCCCAAAACCTGAAAATCCATGAAAGGACAAATTTTGAACATGGTAAAATCAATGAATTACTTTTAGTTTTGATACTTTGTTTGGAATTCATGTAAAATTTTTCTACAGAATTTTAGCTGTAATGTGAAGGAATCACTTACTCTTCAGCATTCTCATGAACATCTTCCACTTGCGTCCAAGATTGCACGAAAGATGTGCAAATACATCTTTTATTACACTGTCTGGAACTAAACAAAATCACAAATAAACATTCATTCAACTTATTATAGAGTCTGAGAACATTCTTTTATTGTTTTACTGTAAAACATTTTGAGTAACCTAAACCAATTCACCACAAGACATCAAAAAGAATTTTAAATTTGCACACATTTTTACAGATCTTTTCAAATCACAAGCTCCAACAAAAATGTGAAAAAGACATACTTCAACTTTCAACAAACTTTTAAGTTATTAAAATACTTCATCAGTTGTTGTTTAACCTTTTATTTCCTCCAAGCTTGCGCTAGATGATCTTTTGCGCAAGGTGCCCCTCTCCTGTCCCAGAAGTACCTCACTCTTGGGTGTAGGGGGAGGGGTGGGAGGTATAGGGATAGCCACTTCACCATTGTTGTTATTATTCAACACTGGGACCATCTCATCTTCCAATTGAAATCGCAATTTGGGCTTTTCTTTCTTTTTGTCACCATTTGACCGTTTTCTATGGTGAACTCCAGCTCGTTCATGATCTCCAGAATCTTCCCTGCAGGGAGGCTGTTTCTCCTGGCTGCTCTGTGGACACCTGCAATATATGGTGTCATAACATGAGATGAAGCAAATTATACAAAGTGAAGTGTCGTACGCACGATTAAAAGAAGCACATTAAATTGCTGCAGATTTGCATTAAAATGTGCAGTATTTCCACAGTCAAATAAAAAGTTACTAAACAATGCAAATTTCAACCATAACTACACATCACAATCATGCTACAGAAAAAAATAGGTACTTTTTCTAGACAACGCTGTGGGAAAATTTGGTACTTTCTCTACAAGTTACAGAAGCTCTTACTAGTAATTTTGGGAGCAGCATGGAAATTATAAAGTTTCAATAACAGTGATTCTTCTGGCACTGAAATACAATTATTCATCTTTTTTTTTTTTTGCCTAATAAGTTATCAAATTACTTCAGAAAATTAAAGAACTTAAGTAAATGATTTATACAAGTTGAATAACTTGTCAATGATTTGATAAAGAGGGTTAATCCAGTGGGCAATGAACACAGCAATCTTTTGTGAACCCAAACATAAAAACCACTACCTTTCTTTGCCATCAGTTTTATTCTTTCTACACCAACAGTAGGCGGCAAAAAGAAGACCTATGATAACTAAACCAGCACCAACACCACCCATTGCACCATGCAGGGATTCTACAGAAATAAACAACAAACATAGCACATCAAGACAAAAATAAACATCCAATACATCACATAAATGCGTACTAGTTAAGACCAGGTCTATGTTAGATCCCTGAGCGACAATTCCCAGACCCTATTGTACTAACTGTGGATCGATCTATCTCCAAGAAAATTCTTGCTAAATTGCTATCAACTTATTAGGGTCAAATGTCTGTCACGCCTACTGACTCTGCTTGAGGGTAATTAACTATCATATTGCAGATTCATTAGGCTTGCCAGACATCTAAGTCACATAAGCTGAAAGCAATTAAATGAGAAACCCCTTGGAAATGGATCGATCATGTTAGATCGATCTAGGCATGGGAACCCAGTCCTAGTGTGCCACCTGACATAGTAATTACACCATCCAAACATTGAGGGGTAATTTAAATATTTTTATTAACTCAAAAGTTATTTGGTGATGCATTTTAGGACATTCTCGGGTCAAAATAGACCTAGTCTGAATGCGGTTATACATGAAACCTTCCATCTTTTCATGCACCTACCATAACAACTGATTTGTGCAGCTAAATTATGACCAAAGGAAAACATTCAATACATTAAAATATATAACTGTGATAAAAGCATATAATATCCATGCAATTAAAAGACAACAATGACAATGTTTCCCAAAATTTCCAACAACATTACTGACAATGAAGTCATATCTTAGGCCGCATTCCCATAGATTTTGGATCAATCTATCCCTGTGGGTAGTCTCACTAGATTACTGTCAGATAATCTGGCTTAAATGTCCATCCCGCCTACTACAAGCTGTAAGGGGGTAATTAACTTTCGTGCCGGGCGGCTGACAGCTATTTAGCGTGAACCCCCAGGGAGTTAGGTCGATCTAAAGTAGATCGATCTAATCTCTGGAAATGGGGTCTAACATTTTAAACCCAATTTCCTCTCTCAATTGTGTTAAGGTTTGTGTAGAAACATAAATTTTAGCAATGAATTAAGCCTCCTCTTTGAATTGAAGTTTATAACAAGGTATAAGCAAAAGCAGATCAATTATCTTTTAACTTTTTAACTTTTAACTTCGATCTAATCTCTGGGAAAGGGTATCTTAGAATTAACTGGCAATGACAATGTATGCATCTCAATATTTGGAGTAAACACAAAAGTTAACAATGTAGCAATTACATAAAAAAGCAAAAAACATAGTTACTACAAACAAGGCAAGTTTTTATAACATGGATTATCAAAGAAGTGATCTTTTTTATATTCAATTACAGGTAGTACATCCAACCATGTGTCATGTTAATACAAACCTGGTCTCTCAAGAACACTGTCAATGGTAAAGTTGGTAATATTGTTTCTAACAGTACCTAGGTCAAAGCCAAAGGTTGTTGTCTGCCCCTCAACACCAGGGTCAACTGTCACACCAGAGGTAGCAGCTGAAATATATGTGGACAGTAATCAATGGTAAATTCTTATAAGTATTTTTAGGATATGTAAAATATTAACAAGGAATCTTTGTAATTGTTCAGATAAGTAAATATGCAATGTTAGGCAGCACTCCTTGTAAAGCATGCATTTATAAGTGTAGGTAGAGCATGTCAAAAAGAATATTTTACATTTGTAGAAATAAGCCTTTACAAAGAAAAGATTTCTCAAATCCATCGAATTAATACAGGAAAAATTTTAACCACAGAGGCTAATTAACTGACTGTATTCCTCTTATAAAAGCTTTTGATTGGGATTTGCCATTACTGTTGACTTGCTTTTGGTTGTTACTGGCAACAGCCCTGCTCTTTGCTTATGGTTGCTATTGACAACTGACCTGCCTCTTGCTTATGGTTGCTATTGACAACAGACCTACTCCCTAGTTACCTGTGTGATCAGTGATGTTGCCATCAGTGGGACAAGGGCCACATACAACATCAGAAAATCTGGTCCCTTCTTTCATTTCAACCAGGCCCAGGGCAGAGCAGTCTGTGTGCTTCCTGCACTTCTGAGTAAGAGACACGTGATCCGAGTAGTAACCATGGCGACATTTCTCACACTGAGTGTTATTCTCTCTACTGCCTGAAATTGAGTTAAACTCTGAATATGATAAAAAGTGTTTTTTCTTCATACACATTTCTGCTTCTTTAGGAAATAAGGAACAAGAAAAGTTTGCAGAATCTGATGAAGGTTATGAGTGATGCCATGAAAATAAAAATGACCTAACGCATCATTCAGCAATCAGAGGTTTGGAACCTTATGTATTTCATAAAATATACACTTTTTTTACATTTACAACCAGATTTACCTTGGTAGCCAAACCATACATCAGCATATTCCACTGAAATGTGAAAACCATATTCCTACATGGTGTTCCAATGTACTAAGAACTGGCCCAGGTACCCAAATATATCTATATAGGCAAATATGAAACCTTTATGCATACCTAACTGTTTGACACCAAATCCTAGACGACAAGGGGTGTGCCTCTGGCAGTGACCCCAGTGCTGCCATCTATAATAACCATCCACACAGCCACACACCCTGTCCTTTGTTACTGTACAATTCGCCACCTGCTCCTCAGCATGGCCATGACACCCACCACTGCAGAGCTGACAGGAAGGCGCTGCATTATACTGTGTGGAAAAAGTCAGTTGTGGAACACACGGCTCACAACGTGTGGGCGTGGTCCCGGTGCAGTCAGCTAGAAGATGTGTCCCTGGCTGGCAGGCTTCACAGCCTAGTCCTGAGGCAGTCTTATAATGCTCTACTTCTGCAACCTGAAAAAAGGGATTTTAATGAATGTAGGCCTATTTATTAACAACTTGCACTCCTTATAACTCCAGGTTTAAAGATAGATGTGGAGAAGATGTTCATTTGCTTACACAGCTCTGTTAAAGAGAGTAAGGGACCATTCACAATAAATTTATTCCACCTAGCTTATGTCCACTAAGGGTGCATTCCCAGAGATTAAGATTGATCCAGAGATTTAGATTTAGATTTAGATCAACCTAACTCCCTGGTGGTTCACGCTAAATTGCAGTCAGCTGAGCGCCCACCATAGTTACAGCTTACAGCTTTTAGTAGGCGGGACAGACGCTTAAGCCGGTTAAGCTGACAGTAATCTAGTAAGGCTCCCCACAGGGATAGATCGATCTAAAATCTATGGAAATGGGGTCTAAGACTACTGGGGCACTCACTATTTTGTTACAAATGTAATCAGTTTAACAGACTAATTAACACACCTCCTCTTGTTTTCGACATACTCATATAATCACTAGCTTTGTTATATTCTACTTAACACCAGGAGGAGACGTGTTGGTCTAGTAATTTGATTGCAGTTACCATGGAGTTAATGCACGCGATCTATCGTGAACATTCCCTAGAGTTTGGCCTAAAGAAGTATGAAACCATGCAGGAGATACTGTTTATGGCAAAAGGATGACAGAACTGCCAACTTGTATTATTCTTATGGAGAAGGGGGCATCTCGATATTCCTAAACCTCATTGGTCTGAAGGTTCATTGGTCTGAAAAATTGTAGCATTTTCATCAGTTTTTTTTTTTTTTTAATCAAGGGTTCATTGGTCCAATGGTTTTATAGTGAACATCTGGACCAATGAACCTTCAGACTATTGCTACAGCCCCATTCATATATCATTTAGACAACAAACTGCCCAGTTATTGAGTAAAGCTATTTTAATCAGTGATTATTCGAGCGTGCCTCGGCATGCCCGTTTAATTTAATATGACAAGATGATGTAATGAATTGAATCACCTGTATTGCATAGAACAGAAGATATAAAGCCATTATTCTGTGTTCTATTTCTACTTTGAAAGATAAATTCGCCCGACTCACGTAACTTCAATCCTTCAAAAAGTACGATTTGGATGATTGAACACATGATTTGCTACTGCACATTCAACGTCTTTTTCACGCATATCTACGTTTAAAACTTAATTACAGAAGCAAATTTTGCACATTAATTAGGCCTACAACATAACTGAAATCTACTTACCATTAAATTGCTTACTTCGAAGAAAACAACGATAAATAATGAGAGATTTTCCAATAAAAATCCGAAGGCAGCCATTATCATACAGTAGTTTTGCGTCATCACAACGGTACTGACATCTACCGCAAGTAGCAGTTGTCGGCTAAATATAGAGATTATGGAAATCCCCCAATGACGTCACTCCCTGGCTGCCTTGACTTCTCCTTGCATAGTGCTCGCATGTGTGAACAAATCGAATAACAAAGTCACCTACTTACATTGCGTCTCGTTTCTTTTTTTTAATAATAGTCCCAAAATTTGTTTTACATGTTGTTTCTTGAAATCTGAACTGTCAAGTGATAAGGCCTACATGTGCGCCTCACACCTTTAAGGGGCCGGTGTAAGGTGACAGAGCATCTCAGACCCTATCGTACTAACTGTGGATCGATTTATCTCCAAGTGGATTCTCCCTAAATCGCAATTAACTTAAGCGGCTTAGATTTAAAAATCATTTTTAGCGGCTTCGGTAGGCGTGCTAGACACCTAAGCCGCTTAAGCTAAAAGCATTTTAGCGAGAATTAAACCCTTGGAGATGTAGATAGGCCTATTAACTGATTAAGTTAGTTATCTAAAAAATGGCATAAAAAGTATGGCAATAGCACCTCTCTAATGTGTGCTACTTGCATGAAAAATTTCGTGTACATATTGAATGGTTTAACAAAATACGTTAGAATGTAAACGTTGATTTTTTGTCCTCATTGTAGGCACTGTACAACTAGACAAGATTTAGATAATAAGTACTACAGAATTTCCCATAGTCATTCTAATAAAGAGAACCTAGTAGCATGAAAGTTAAGTCGAAAAATATAATAAAATTTAATCAGAGAAGATTTGTTGATATTTTATTCAAACTGTACAAGAATACGATTGAGATGTAACTCAGCACGAAAAATTGTAGGCCTATATGGATCATATAAGCTGCATTTAATAATTTTAAAAAACAGGTCAATGTCAAACATCTCATGCTAGTATATGATGTTTAATTTAACATTACGCTTGATGAAAAGGTGTAAAAACAATTAGTTATTGTTGCAAATTTTGATAGAATTTGAAGGAAAACTTCATTGAAAGATTTTAAAAAACTTTAAATAATATAAATGTCCAAAATAACTTTTCTTAAGAACTCTCTTGTTTGTCATTTTCAAATTTCAAGACATCCCTAAATTTTTGGCTAATNTGCGCAAGCGTCTCGATTCCATGGCCCCGTATCTCGAAATAGAATCGGTTATGAAACGAGACACTTGCGCACGTGCGCAACATAGCAAACCTTTCGAGATACGGAGCCCTGGACGCTCTCGTATTGTTTTTACATTTTTCAGGCTTTTAACTGCTATCTTTAATAGCGCTTTACGTGGGCTTTGACACGAAAGTGTAACACAATTCTGCGGTTATTTACTGAAGTAAACACACCTAATTGATTCTGTGTGGTATCAGAAGAATGTGCCAACCCACATGACACTAACTGGTGTCTTCATTACCAATTAAGGGAAATAGTTCATGCTGAATGTATTTTGTTTCTGACAGACAAAGCACAATATGAGATTAACGGTGAAATCGGCGATTTTTGTGTTCACTTGTTTTAACGACTTGTATAAATGATGTGCATTAGGTCGTTTAAATACATCATGCTATTTGTCAAGAACTTCTCTTAAAATTGTTATGCTTTGCATTGTTTTGAACGGTCTTTGAGATAAACCAAGATAAGCCTTTTAAAAGAAAAAATTCTATGACAAAGTCCAAATCCACTGCTTTTACAGAGTTTTCCTAGATGAAAAGGGAACATGCTCATATTCTACATTTTGAATAATAATTGTTTCCTCTTGCTGTAGTCTTATAGCTTCAGTTATTCTACAATGGTCCTACAGGTTCAGGTCCTTGTGCGTTGTTCCCCCACACTAATGACCACTGAGGTGACGTGGATAATGGGGGACAGATTCAAGAAGCGTTGCTTTATGCCCCTTTAAAAACTATTAATCTACAATAAACTATTTTTAAAATACCAATAAGACATTGCTAATCGCAGCAACCGGTATATTCCAACAACAACACGTTAGGGCAGTTTACACCAAGCAGTGATACAGGCACATGTGACTATTTGAACAGACTTTATCCAGTAACAAGCCTTATCCAGAAAATGAAGACGTTGTTTTTGGCTGTTGTGATTTTTGCCGCTTTCTCTGTAAGCTCTACAGGTAAGAATAATCCTATCTTCCTGCCATGTTAAATTCTAGGATTTGGTGACACGAGTCCAAAACTTGAGAGAAATATCAGCTGGCACAGAGAAAAGTTAGAGACGCACAAGTTGTGAATGCGTTAGATCTGGGGTCTTTGTAGCAAAAATGGTAATAGTTTTGCTTGGAATTTCAAATTTTTCTCTTAATCATTAAGGTATGTCGTATTTAAATCTGCTGTTTGCGCGTCTTTGAAAACTAGGATAATTTCGACTAGATGTGATTTTGCCGTTTTCAATTGGGGAGACTTTTGCTTCAGCATATTTCATTTTGTTTTTGTTCCAGCGGTTGTTAGACGCCTGTCTGTCATCTCCAAGGTGAAGGTCAGCGTTGTGGACAGCGTCGCCAAGAGCATGTCAAATAAACTCAACAGCCTTTTGGCGCCCCCGAAATTATACAAAAAATACTGGAATGTCAACTTCATTTTAGACAGCAGTGGCAGCATTGGGTCATCAGACTTTGGTTTGGCCAAATCTGCTTTACAGGTGTTCTATAGACCTATTGCAATTGATTATATCAGAAACTTCATTAATAATGACCATATAATAACATGTGCCCATAAAATTAGCTTATTTTTTACTTTTTACGGTCTGATGAGAAAACTGATGCGACAATTGAATAATGTCCGAATGTTAATATCCAATTTCATGTGAATTATAATTAAAATTATAACAAGCATTTTATACTTCATATTTTACCTCAGAGCATTGCAGGAGTTATCAACATCTTCTCGCCCATCGGTCCCGGTAAGACAAGAGTAGCTGGCATACGGTACTCCTCTGGGGTGAATGTCCAGTTTAACTTTGATGTCCACGACTCACTGGCTGAAGTGACCGGGGCTCTGGGTAATATAGGTTATGTAGGTAAGCAACTTACTCCTTACTCGATTTATTAAAACCCTCGTGTGCAGGGCATAGTGTATACGCAATAGTGCAGTAATAGTGAAATTCTAAACAGCTAGAACTCAAGCACGGCTTCTCGAATCTTTACCTTAAAGATTGTGAGTGTGTGCGCGCGCGCGTGTGTGAAAATTTCAAGTAAAGACACAATTACCCTTTTAGTTGATAAATGGCATATCCCGTCGCACCCCCCCCCCCGAAAAACGGTGAAGAGACCCACTTAGGGACCAATTCAAAATGACCTGATGCACATGGCTTTGATCAATTTTTAACTACTGTATAAGCATTTGTCTT